GAGCTCCCTATGGGGCCACGAAACGTGTGAGGGGTGTGCCAAAATTGGGTGGCGGCGGCATGCGGACGCAGCCATTTGGGCCTTCGGTGGAGCTCCCTATGGGGCCACGAAACGTGTGAGGGGTGTGCCAAAATTGGGTGGCGGCGGCATGCAGACACAGCCATTTGGGCCTTCGGTGGAGTTCCCTATGGGGCCACGAAACGTGTGAGGGGTGTGCCAAAATTGGGCGGGGGCGGCATGCGGACGCAGCCATTTGGGTTTTCGGTGGAGTTCCCTATGGGGCAACGAAACGTGTGAGGGGTGTGCCGATGATGATGATGATGATGATGATGATGATGATGATGATGATGATGATGATGATGATGATGATGATGATGATGATGATGATGGTGATGATGATGACCGACAACCACGATGTGGATGATGATGATGGCGATACTCATGATGATGAGCATGATGAGGATGGTGATGATGATGATGGGAGGAGGGGGGAGGGGGCAGCGGGAGGAGGAACGCTGGGCACCGTCTCTTCAAAACGAGGACCCAACACCACAGGATGGTTGGAAAAAAAAGAGAAAAACAAAAAAAAAAAAAAAACAAAAAAAACAAAAAAAAAAAAACAAAAAAAAAAAAAAAAAAAAAGAAAAAAAAAAAAAAAAAAAAAAAAAAAAAAAAAAAAAAAAAAAAAAAAAAAAAAAAAAAAAAAGAAAAAACGGTGGGGCGAGGGGCTGCGGCGGTTGCGGCGGCGGTTGCGGCGGCGGCGCGGCTGCGGCGGGCGGCGGCTGCGGGCGTCTGCGGCGGTTGCGGCGGGCGGCGGCGGCGGCGGCGGCGGCCTGCGGCGGAGTGCGGCGGCGGGGGCGGTCGGCGGCGTCGGCGGCGGCGGTGGCGGCGGCGGTGGCGGCAGCGGCTGCGGCGGCGGCGGCGGCGGCGGTTTTGTCGCGGGGGGCGGCGGCCGCGGCGGGCGCGGTCGACGACGACGCGCGGCGGCGGCGGCGGCGGCGGGCGACAGGCGACAGGCGCGACCAGGCGGCGACATGCGCGGCGTCGGCGGCGCGCGGGCGGCGCGGCGGCGGCGGCGCGGCGGCGGGCAGCGGCAGCGGCGGCGGCAGCGCGGCGGCGGCGGCGGCGGCGGCGGAGGAGGCGGCGGCGGCGGCGGCGGATTTGGCCCCCAGTAGCTGCCCATTCAAACACGACTGCTGAATATGCTGAAGCTCGGACCAGATTCGGGTGCTACGTATGTGTTGGGAGGGCGGGTGGGAGAGAGCGAGACGGCTTGCGGGCGGGGAGGGCGTAGCTTGACCCCTCTCCCTACCCCCTACCCCTGGACCTGGACGGGGCGGTTCGCGAGCGGTCGGGGCGTCCAAGATGGCGCAAGATGGCTCCAAGAGGGCATTGGAGATCCCAAGAAGACCTCCAAAATGGATCAAGATAGCGCAAGATCGCGCAAGATGACTCCCAAGATACTCCAAAAAGCCCCAAGTACGCTCCAAGACGTCTCCAAGAAGCCTCCGATGAAGCCCCGAAGATGCCAAAATCTGCCGAAAACGTATGGAATATCCATGTGTTTTGCTTTCTCGACTTTCCGCTTCCGATGGCCATCCGAGGCCTCAAGATGGCCCCAACATGGCCCAAGAGGGCTCCAAGAGAGGCCCAAGAGAGCTCCAAGACGGCCCAAAGAACGCCCAAGAGCGCTCCAAGAGCGCCCAAAGAGCGTCCTAAGAGGCGATTAGTAGGGCACCCGAGGGCGAGGCTAATTGAAGCGCCCCTCTGACGTTGATCGATGACCTCCAGGATGCCCCCAAGAGCGCTCCTCAAGCACCCAAGAGCGCCCCAAGAGGCGCCCAAGAGGCCTCCAAGAGGCTCCCAAGACACCCCCAAGAAGCCTCGAGAGGATCTCCGAGCGGCATTTAAAACGTTCCTGGCTCTTGGGTTCGCCGTCCTCCTCTTCCTCATCCACCCCTTCCTCCTCCTCATCCCTCCTTCCCCTTCCCCTCCTCCACCCCTCCTCCTCCTCCTTTTCCTCCGTCTCTTCCTTCTCCTCCTTATCCTCCTTCTCCTCCTTCTCCTCCCTCTCATCCTTCTCGTCCTCCTCGTCCTCACCCTACTCAATGTCATGATCCTAATTATCCTCATTATCCTCCTCCTCCTCCTCCTCCTCCTCCTCCTCCTCCTCCTCCTCCTCCTCCGACGACGACGACGACGACGACGACGACGACGACGACGATTCCTCCTCCATCCTCCCCCTCCTGGGGTATATGACAATTTCCCCCGCCTTTGTTCTTCTGCATGCTCACCCGCTTCCCTGATCATCTCAACTCCCCTGGACATCGTCTCTGGATGGGCTGGTGGGGGTATTTTTGTCGCAACCGCAGGCGAAGACGCCGGCGGCGTCACAGGTCGGCTCGGGTTACGAGCAACTGGTGGGGATACTTTTTGATCGCGAGCGTCGCGGAACCAACCGCGCGCCGTCAAGAAAGTCGTGTGAGAAGCGCAGGCTGGCCAGTGACAGGCGGCACGCAAGACAAGGGGCCACAACGGTGGCGAGAACTACGCAACGGGGGGGTAGAGAACGAACTCCTCCTCATCCTCCTCCTCCTCCTCCTCCGCCTCCTCCTCCTCCGCCTCCTCCGCCTCCGCCTCCGCCTCCGCATCCGCCTCCTCCTCCTCCTCCACCTCCTCCTCCTCCTCCTCCTCCTCCTCCTCCTCCTCCTCCCCCATCCGCCATCTCCGCCTCCGCCTCCGCCTCCGCCTGCGCCTGCGCCTCCGCCTCCGCCTCCGCTCCTCCGCCTCCGCCCTCCTCCTCCTCCTCCTCCTCCTCCTCCTCCTCCTCCTCCTCCTCCTCCTCCTCCTCTTCCTCCTCCTCCTCCTCCTGCTTCTCCTCCTCCTCCTCCTCTCCTCCTTCGCCTCCGCCTCCGCCTCCTCTCCTCCTCCTCCTCCTCCTCTTCCTCCTCCTCTTCTCCTCCTCCTCCTCCTCCTCCTCCTCCTCCTCCTCCTCCTCCTCCTCCTCCTCCCTCCTCCTCCCTCCTCCTCCTCCTCCTCCTCCTCCTCCTCCTCCTCCTCCCCCTCCTCCTCCTCTTCCTCTTCCTCTTCCTCTTCCTCCTCCTCTTGCTCATCCTCCTCCCTCTTCCTCTTCCTCACCTCCACCTCCTCCTCCGCCTCCTCCTCCTCCTCCTCCTCCTCCCTCCTCCTCCTCCTCCTCCTCCTCCTCCTCGCCTCCGCCTCCGCCTCCTCCTCCTCCTCCTCTCCTCTCCTCCTCCTCTTCCTCCTCCTCCTCCTCCTCCTCCTTCCTCTCCTCCTCCTCCCCCCTCCTCCTCCTCCTCCTCCTCGTCCTCCTCCTCCTCCTCCTCCTCCTCTCTCCTCCTCCCCCTCCTCCTCCTCCTCCTCCTCCGCCTCAGCCTCCGCCTCCGCCTCCGCCTCGCCTCCTCCTCATCATCCTCATCCTCTCTCATCTCTCCTCTCTCCTCTCTCCTCCTCCTCCTCCTCCTCCTCCTCCTCCTCCTCCTCCTCCTCCTCCTCCTCCTCCCTCATCATCATCATCATCATCATCATCATCATCATCATCATCATCATCATCATCATCATCTTCCTCCTCCTCCTCCTCCTCATCCTCCTCCTCCTCATCATCATCATCATCATCCTCCTCCTCCTACTCCTACATATGACATGTAGGGACATTCGGTGGCCTTTTGGGGGTCTCGCAAAGGAAAGCGGCAGTCGCAAGCAGCACCCTCGACACCGAGTCCACTCGGAGCAGGACCGCGGGCCCGACCCCGGTTCCGCTGTGAACGGGTCCCGGGGCAACGCTACGCTGAATTGGAGCGTCTGATGGGACAGCGCGGACCCTCCTCCTCCTCTTCGATCTCCTCATCGGACTGGCGGCGACATTCGTATTCCCAGAAGGCTCTTTGGAAGCACGATGGTGTGGGTATTGTAGGAGTCATCGCGGAGGCTTCCAGGGTACCCCACAGGAGGCTGCAAAGCCTGCTGGACAGCCAGATGGAAACAGCCGAAAATCTTGAGATGGTGGTGAAGCTTGGAATAGAGATGGTGGAGGTGTACGGTAACAAAGCAAAGGTGTAGGAGCTGCGAAGGCCGCGGCAAGGAGTGCGAAAGAAACTGGAATAGCCTTCGACCCATCTCGCCACCGTGCCTGGGTAGTGGGTCAAAAGCCATGAGGGTGTCAGGAGGGATGTCGGCCTCACGGGGGCCTCGTGGGGGCCGTTGTTTGGCCTCTTGGGGGCCGTTTTGGAGCCTTCTTGGGCGTCGTGGGGGCCTCTTGAGGTCCTCTTGGAGCCTCGTGGCAGCCTCCGGGAGCCTTCTTGGGGCCTCCTGGGAGCCTCTTGGGGCGAAAGACTCGAGATTTTGGTTCATGCCCCCCCTCTTGAGCCCGTTGGGGCCGTCTTTGAGGCTTATTGGGCCGTCTTGGTTTGCCCTGGTGTGCCCTGGGGCCGTCATGGAGCCCTGCCGTCCAGTGCTCTCCTGGGAGCCTCTGGGGGTCCCAGGAGACAGACCCTACAGTGACAGACCGTACGACAGACCGTACGGTGACCTCGAAATCCCGAAAAACCTCACTGCACCGACCGTCACCGCACAGTCTATTTGGACGCCCGAAATGAGCACGGAAAGAATGGGCACAATGCCCAACAACAAATGTTGTCCCAAACCAGCAGCTGCCGCTGTTGGGCAGGCGGCCTCCTGTCTCAAACGGACACGGGCCGCGGCGGCGCGGACAGCGAGCCCTGTTCACAATGAACAGGAACTGCCGTTGGGCATTGTGCCCACATTCTCTTTCCGTACAAATTTCGTTGGTGCAGATTCTGGGACCCTGGAGGCCCCGGTCGCCCGAAACGTCCTCGGAGAACGACCCGAGTCCCGAACGCGTGCGGCCACCGCGACTCCCCACCGACCCGCCACACGGCGCGGCCACCGCACCGTGCGCGGGCCTCTCCGACGCGGCACCGAACAGGACGAGGGGAGGCGACGCTCGGACAGCCCCGCGCCTGCGCAGCAGCTCGGGGCCGGCAGGCGTGCCCGACGCCGCCTTCAGCACGTCGGCCATCTCGGCGGCGATCTGCGGCGCCCCTCTCGAGGCGGCCCTGTGCGGGAGTCGGCGGCGCGCCCCGAGGGGGACGGCGCGGTGGGGCGGGTCTTCTCGGGAGGCTCAGAAGGCCCCGGACTTCTGAGGAGCTTCCCGGGCCCTCTCCGAAGGCAGGGACGGCTTCTCGGAAAGCCGGGCGGCCTCGGAGAAGCTCCATCACCTCCCGAGCGGGGCCCACTCTCGCTTCCCCCCTCGGCAGGCCGACCACAAGGGGCTGGCCAGAAGCGTCCCTCCCTGGTTACCGAGCCATCGAAACTGCCTTCAGCGCAACGCTTATGCCCTGAGGAAGCGTTCCAATCGCCGCCTGAACCTCATGCACCCCCCTGGCAACGAGTATCCTGGCGGGGTTCAAACGTTGTTGCAGCGAGCGCTGCGGCCGTGAGCTTCGATGCCACTCTTTGCGAGACTGGTCTGTCAAGCTGCGTGGGAAGCTTTCGGGTTTCGGTGATCGTACAGCTGGGAGTAGCACAAGTGTGGCACAGCTGGCGGTAGCCAAGCTCAACTACGTACTCTCAACAGTGCTGGGCTGGACCATGCTTTGTTATGCTGAGGCGTACCGAGATGCACGTAGATGCGACAATGCAACGTGTGATGAAGATGCGTGCCAAGATGTTTATCTGTGTCAGGCGCTCTGAAAGGCTGTGGCGCATACTATCACATAATGCGTTGCACCCGCGACGATTATGAACCTGATATACTATGTCACGTGGTGTCGGATCTGCTATCGCGTACTTGTTCGCGCAGGGCGACACGTCATGTGCCGTGTCATGGCGGATTATCAACACTAAAGGCCCGGGGACAAGTATCCCAACGCCGCCCGAAAGCCCCAATAAGGGCCAAAACCCTAATGAATGCCTTTGCTAGGCGCAATCCTTCAATGGCTTTCGCCCTCCACCTTGCCCGGCAGCACCGTTTAAATGTTCGCATTGTGTTCTGCAACCGCTTCACATCATTGAACCCTCACTCACACGCTGCCAGCTGCAAGTCGGCATGACCGCGCGTGCTGGTGTTAGGAGGAGCCTCCCCCGAGCCTGCAGTGCGAACAGCGCATCCCGCACTGCAGTCGTTCAGCAGGGAGCAGGACTGCCGAAGAATGAGGAGTGCACAGGGTCGACTGCGGACGGCACATAGCAAGAGAGCGGCGAGCCAGAAGAAGAGACGGGTGAACGGGGAAAGCACGTACAGTCAACCTATGGGTGCGCGGTAAGGATGCAAGGCCTCGGAAGGCCACGTCGACACTTTGCTGACGGGGCGCGGCCAGCGAAAGCGGCCGAGGATGGGCCGAAGGGGAAAAGCGCCTGGGTGCCCTTGGAAAGTCGCTCATCCTCACTACGCGGATTGCCTGTAGCTCCACAAGAGTGTTCGGTGGCAACTCATGGGAGCCTCCCATACCATCTTGTCGGCTCTTGCCAGTCGGCGCTCATCGACGCTGAGTCTAAGTCAACGCCGATCGAGACGCCAAATCGACGCTGACCGACGCTAGCGGACGCCAAATCGGCGCCATCCCCTCGACTCCAGACGCTAATCGACGCTGGTGGACGAGGGCTCCTAAGTTCGCGCTTCGCGCTGCGCGAAGCGCGAAGCGCGAATAACTTCGCGCTCTCGCGCCGCCCTCCCAAAGGGAGAAGAGGAGGACGAGGAGGAGGGGGAGAAGGAACGAGGACCGCGAAGCGCGAAGCGCGAATAACTTCGCGCCCTCGAGGGAGCCCTTGCTAATCGACGCTGGTGGACGCTGAAGACGGAACTGCGAGGGCACGCCAGGCGCCCACGGCCTGCCGAGAGAGCGGGCCGCGGAACGCCGCGAGGAGCCTCTCTGCTGCTCGGGCTCGTCGTCGTCGTCGCACTGTGGGGTCGTCGTCGTCGTCGTCGTCGTCGTCGTCGTCGTCGTCGTCGTCGTCGTCGTCGTCGTCGTCGTCGTCGTCGTCGTCGTCGTCGTCGTCGTCTGCTGCTCGGGCTCGTCGTCGTCGTCGTCGTAGTGAAGGGCTGGCCACGGCTGGCATCGGCCACGAGCAGGGCCCCCCCCCGACCTGCCTCGGGGGGCACGGCCGAGAGAGGGGCCCCACGAGGGGCCCTACGAGGGGCCCCTCGTGGGGCCCCAGCTGGCGCCAAGAGGGGGCCGAAAGGGCCCCTCTGGGGCCCTGCTCTTCACCCCCCAGGTGGGTCACCCCCCATCCCTCGCGCCCGACCTTGGAAAGTCGCTCATAAATCCCTACGCTTAGGTCGGGCATGTCCTCCTGCAGGCGCACTTCGGGTAAAAAATAAAAGACGTCCCAAAAATGATCAAAACAAGTATGGGAAAAACGTCCCCAGATAATTGTTCTACTATTCTTGCATTACCCTCCTGTAGAGGGACATGCCCGACTTAACACCACGCGGGTCGACTGCAGCTCCACAGAGAGTGGGCCGCGCCGCGCCGCCAGGAGCCTGACCTGCTGCACCCTGCTCCCTTGAATAGGGCTGGGGGGTTCAGGTCTGCAGAACACCCCAAACGGACGTCAAGGGGCGCAACCAACATGCTAGGTCAAGCTGAAGTTGGCGCACCACACCCGGCGTCAAGCCAAGACTCTGGACACGAGCGAACGGCTGGATGTTGCACATATACTCGTCGGCTGGACCGGCGAGGCACTCGACCACCCTGACGTCCCTTTTCTTGGTTTAGAGGCCTCCTAGATGGGGTCGGAGTAGATGGGGTCGGAGGATCGCGCCGCATCGCCAATACATCGGCGATACATCGCCGATGCATCGGCGACGCATCGGCGACGTCGGCGCGATGCATGAGCGACGCCATCGTGGAGGAAATCGGGCTCCACATCGAGCCGCATCGCCGATGCGTCGACGATACGGCGCGACACTTCGACCCCACCTGCTCCGACCCGATCTGGGAGGCCTGGATGGTTGGCCCTGCAGAAGAAGGCGCTCTCTGACCCTCGGCCCTGCTCAACAAGGGCTCCCAACTTCGCGCTTCGCGCTGCGCGAAGCGCGAAGCGCGAATAACTTCGCGCTCTCGCGCCGCCCCCCCAAAGGGAGAATAGGAGGACGAGGAGGAAGGAGAGGAGAAACGAGGACCGCGAAGCGCGAAGCGCGAATAGCTTCGCGCCCTCGGGGGAGCCCGCGGCTCAACTGCTCCCTCGCCCCCCCCCCCGCGGCCCCGACCTGCCGCCGTCGGGGTGCTGCAGCGCGGCGGCCAGCTCCTCGAGCACCAGGCCGTGCTTCCCGCTCGCCCGCCAGACCCTCGCGAGCACGTCCGGGCGGCGGCGCTGCCGCAGGAAGCCCTCGCAGTCCTCCCCGCGGCTCCCAGCCGAAGCGTCGGGCAGAACGAGGGAGGGAGAGAGAGAGAGAGAGAGAGAAAGAGAGAAAGAGAGGAGAGAGAGAGAGGGGAAACAACAAAGAGAGAGGGAAAGAAGGGAGAGGGAGAGGGAGACAGATGGAGAGAAAGAGAGAGACGAAAGAGAGAGAAAGAGAGAGAGAGAGAGAGAGCAAGCGAGCGAGAGAGAGAGAGAGAGAGAAAGAGGGCGGGAGAGGGAGAGGGAGAGGGCGAGAGAGAGAGAGAACAACAAAAAAGGGGGAGAGGGGGGAAGCGGCGGAGGGAGAGGGAGAGGGAGAGGGAGAGGGAGAGGAATTGAGAAAGAGAGAGAGAGAGAGACGAAAAGATATGGTACGGATGCGGACTGCGGCTCCCGAGCGACTGGTGGCAAGCCGCCAGTGCGCCCAACGCTTCGGGCGGGCGCGCGGCGCCTCGGGAGCGCGGAGCGACAGTGAATACGACCCCCGCGCCGCTGCGCACCCCATGCGAGGAGGAGGAGGAGGCGGAGGCTGAGGAGGAGGAGGAGGAGAAGGAGGAGGAGGAGGAATGGAGGAGGAATGGAGGAGGAATGGAGGAGGAGGAGGAGGAGGAGGAGGACGAGGAGGAGGCGGAGCGGAGGAGGCGGAGGAGGCGGAGGCGGAGGAGGCGGAATGAGGAGGAGGAGGCGGAGGAGGAGGAATGGCCGGGCAAGACGGGGGCCGCGAGCGGCACGCGGCGCACGACCACTCGGAGGCTCGCGGCGCGGAGGCCAAGGGGGCCTGGGCGACGCCTCGGTGGGGCGGCCACACACACACACCACGAAGCACCCCTCGCGGGCGGAGGTCGGCGAGGCGCCGCCCTGCCGGGCAGGGCCGCCGGGGTGAGGCACAGAGCTGGGGCGAAACGTGCCGGGAGGCTATGCAGCACAGGGGGCACGGGTCCTGAGGGAAGCGCGGATCTTGGACCCTAGGACCACTCCCCAGGACGAGCTCTTCATCCCCAGTCGTTTTCTGACCCTCCCGGGGGGGCCCCGAGAGCCCGAAGACTGTGAAAAACTGGGGACCCCTTTCCGTCAGGATCCCACGGCGAGGTGAAACGCGCCCGAATGCCAAAGTGGCCAGGAGCACGGCTCGACCCTTCACTGCACGCAGCCGCGTGCGCCGCGAGGAGCTGGCGGGGGTGACCTCGAGGTCGGCCTGCCTGCGCGAGGCTCGCCGTGCAGGGCGACGTTTGCGCCAGCGCGGCGGTGACCGCCTCGGCCTCTGCAGCCGCGTCATTGCACTGACGCTGAAGGTCTCCTCCTCCTCCTCCTCCTCCTCCTCCTCCTCCTCCTCCTCCTCCTCCTCCTCCTCCTCCTTCTCCTCCACCTCCCCTCCTCCTCCTCCTCCTCTCCTCC